TTCAGAAAGACAAAAAATAAAGGCATTTTGTCTCAAGGCACTATTTGTGTGTAGAATGTCAGTTTAATTGATTGACCTCTTGTCCACGGCTGTGGGCACAGACATGTTGCTAGTTTATGGAACAAAAAGAGTTCCTTTACATTTAGAGTGCACTCGTTCTTCTTGGGGATCGTGTAGAATCCATTTCTCAGATTCATTCGATCATTCGACAAATCAAGAAAGCTCATCGACACCTGCGAGACTCAAGGTAGGCCACCCCACAGTACACGCAAGCACCGGAGGAAAGTTGTTGCCTACCTATCAGGCGCTTTGAGGCTTTGCATTGTTGGCTGAACTTGGCAATTCTGTATTGGCGAATGACGGACGCGTATTTTGAATAGCCCAATCACAATGAGGGTGATGATTTAACTTAAAGAACAAGTTAGTCCTAAGCTCAAAATTATTGTGTTTTTAGACAGTCCCCTACCTATTCTATGCACACATTAAGCGGATGGATGTGTGACTCTTAACTAATTACGAGATGATTTGCTTGGTAACTACTAACGTTTTGTGCTGTTTATACTATCAAGAAATGCTTCAGTATTACTAAACCTGTCCCCAGTAATGATAAACGATTTATTTTACTTGTAGGGTTGTAGAATACAATGATAATAGACGATAGCACAAAACCTTAGAAGATGCTAAGAAAATTTTGTAGTAAAAAGTCTGGAGTGTAGCTGCCGCCATCCATTATAACTGTGGTTGAAGCTGCAGATTTGGAATGGAGTAGCGGGGCGGTGGGGGATATAGAAATGTTTTCCTTTCCGCCACACTCACGGCTCTGATCTGCCCAGCCCGACTCAGTTGGCTTTATTCATGTGGGGCAGTGATGGGGCGGGACGGGACGGGCTGTGATCTGCTTCGATACGATCCCGTGTTATCACTGTCATGTTTTGGCACGAATCCAGATGAGGAGGGGAAGGGGGGGGGGAGCTTACTGGGAACCAGTTGCCTGCCGGTGGTCCAGCCTCTAGCTGACCAGCATCATACCATCAGCAGTCCGTTTTGCAGGGATTGGGAAGTGTGTGTGTGTGTGTG